AGAAACTGATGATGGTGGAAAACACCGAAACGTATTTTAATTGATAAATAGACAATAAATGACTGAAGCCCAGGAATTTATTTTGATTTGGAATTGAAACACAGTCAGGAAAGTATGTACAATTTTTATTATTATTTTTAATTTTCAAAAAAAATGAATTCGCCTCAACAATATAGAACTTATCTATAAATATACGCTTCTTTTACTGCAAAATATTTTGCAATTTAGGGCTAATCCAATCTTACTCTGACTAATTTTCCGCTCTCAGATTAAGGCAAGCATGAGTTGTTTCTCATCGGAATTTTTGCAGGTTTGGCAATTTATCAGACACTTCGTAAATTCCCCTATTACCGAAGTATTAATGCAAATGTGCATTTGATTTATTTGATAGCAAAATCAATATACCAGGGAATATATTTTAATATGAAGAAAAAATATTCCAGCTTTTTTTCTGTTCGAAGTAGCGATGGTCACGATCTAGTCTTGATCTCTTTCTTCTTAGTGCAATTGAGAGATTTACCGTGCTGCTCACACAATTTTACTTCTCACGTCTAAAGAAATTTAACGACAACTAAGCCATTTTACATGTTTTATCAATCAATATTTAGTTTATATAAACATTAATCATGAATTTTTAAACATGAATTGTTTGGAAAATCGGCCCGCGATGTTTAGAACTTGACCGAACACAATTGTATGTTTGTTTGTAAATTGACCCGCAAATAAACGTGTGTTTAAATCAACTTCAAGCAAACAGTAAAAAATGCAATTCTCAGCTGTATTTGAATATTCTTCAGTTTAAGAATGCAATTAGCTCAATCGTTTAAGCCGTTCGGGTGTAAAAGATGACAAATAATAAGTGTATTTTGAGTCAAAAATTCTCTTTTTTGGATGACTCACATATCCCGGACCTTCCTCAGGTAATAAAACCGAAGTAAAGTAAATTCCCTTTCGCGCATACATTATTTACAGCTACAGCGCTAATTCCCAGAAAGGTTAAGATCAAAAGGGAACGGAAGGGTCAAATCCTAAAATTAACCCGCTTCTATTATATCGTAAATAGCTTTTAGTAGAATTTAAATCTAAGTATTAATGCACTTAATTGGAGAGGTATTTTGATGCTAATTTCTACACTCAAACTCTGTAGGAATTTATCCAGCACCCGAATTTTGAAAGCTAATTAATTGATAATGTTCCGAAAAGCTTAATCAACGAGAGCTTTTACAGAACATAATCAAATTGTGTACAATTCGCATACATTAAATATTTTGTTGGTAAAAGGTTTTAAACTTCGGATATCGTTTACCACGATATATAACAGCGCCTAATGCAATTTTCAAGCTATTGACCCTCGTATCGAATGGGTAAACTTTTGAGCTTGGTCTTCGTCTGCAGAACTTGCAATTTGCAAGATTAACTCTATATAACGCTCGTCTCTTGTCACTTTGAGTCTAATGGATTTGATAGTCCCTTTAATAGAAATTGTGATGCT